TGATCTACCTACTGTAGGTGCCATTTGGCTTTCAGCTATCTGACCCAACACAACCCCCAGCCATTGTCAGTTCACTTGTTGCCATGAGGTCACTTCTTAAACTGACCAATGAATTCATGACCTGTATGGTCAGGCGTTTGTGATTTTATTCAGCTATTAAAGTAGGGGTGGTTTCATGCTATATACAGATTGTAACAATTAAGTTGCAGTCTCCAACTAAGTTAACAGATGAAATCAAGTCTGATTGAAATGAACAGCAATTGTCTGTCTACAGGAATAATACTGGTACCAGCTGATTCACAGGAACACAATCTAATAGTGTATTTCTGCAAACTGTATAGTAAGATAGAATCTAATAGTGAGGATTAGTGTATTTTTGATAAATATATGGGAAACCTTTAAATTCAATTTGAATCCCTGTACTGACATTATTTTGGAATCTTATGAAATCTTTGGTAAAATGACTAATTCTTCTTCAAATGTGTCAGATAATTTTCATACATAATATCACAGTAAGTGATTTACATGACATAAGAACATGAGAAAGACTGGCACAATAGAGAGACCACTCAGTCCATCTTCTGCACTGGGTAGTTGCATGTTAGTAGCTCAGTGAATATAAAATTTCACCCAGACGGGTCTTAAAGAAGCCCAGAGTTTGGGCAACAATCACCTGACTGGTGTCCAGATACCTACTGTTTTCTGAGTAAAGAAGTGTTTACCTATTCTCAGCCCTACCAGCGATTCTAGTTGTCGTCCCATGTCCTTTATTCACTACTAGTGTGAAACGTGAAAGGAAGCTGTCTGTACCCCTTAGGGTATTGCATACCTGAATCAAGTCTCCTCTCAATCTCTTCTGTTCTCGAGGGGAGAGACTCGGCCTGTTCTACACAACCCACCGCAGTGGCAGGAATCCCTCTTGTTCTCCTTCAAACTCTTTCTAAGACTATAATAAATTTTCTGCAATATGTTGACCATGAGTTTTCTAGATGAGGTTTTATTAGCACATCATAGAGCTCAAGCATAACCTAAATTGCTAGATACTGGACCTCAGCATTCTTATTGATTTTCTGATTGCTTTCCTACAGTATATTGTCTTGACGAGGCTGTAGAAGGATCTACATTGACACCCAGATTCCTCTCATGTGTAACTTGATGCAGCGCAAGAGAAGCCATGTGACACTTGACACATATCAAATTCTAAGAGAGATTCACACTTTACCGGTGTGTTGTAAAAAATAAACAGACCCTCCATGGGTTGTGAACTATTCATTTTGCTCTTATATTGGTTCTCCACGTATTGCTTCTTGATGGGGCTGTAGAAGGATCTACACTGACACCCAGATTCCTCTCATGTGTACCTTGACGGAGCGCAGAAGCACCCGTGTGATGTGTGCAGTGTGTGTTCCTACTGCCAGCATGGACCACTTGACGCTTCAGTGTGGAATTTCATTTGCCAAGTGCCAGCCTGTCCCTGGTTCTGTCCACGTCTGTTTGCACTTCCCCTGCTGCAGTTTCCGTCTGCTACTCGCCCGATTTTTGCATCACTCGTAATTCCGACCGGTTCCCTTACTGCACCGCAATCTACTATACATCTTTAAACACGGATCAGGAAGAACAATGGACCTAAAACAGATCCCTGTGGCACCACTACTCACATCTGCCCAGCGAGAGCTCAGGCTGTTTCCTGTGTGCTCACATGTTCTCTGCCCTTGTACATACGGCACATTCCTTTGGATTCCCCTGGTTTTTAATTTGTGAACCAATTGTTCATACTTGTCCTTATCAAACACTTTCTGCACATCTAGATATACTGTATCATATCACATGCTTTAGTGTTATCTTAAGTCCTTGCTGCTTGTTAGAAGAATTCTAGCAAGCTAGTTAAATAAGTGCTTCCCTAGACAATTAAATAACAATAGACATTCTACTGCCTCTCTCTGAAAATGCCCCTCTAAACACAGAATTGTTTTTTTTTCAAATATACTGTGTTATCATTTAATCCATTTGTCAGTTGTACAGACAAATGTATTAATTTGACTGCATTTTTTTAAAACTGCAACAAATAATTGTGTGTTATATTAATTTCACCTCTAATTTCACTTTTTGTAATGTACAATTATACAATATCCATTGCTTTCCTAAAAATGGTCATTACTCTGTAATTCTGAGACTATATTATATACTGCATATTTACTGTTTGTATAATCATGCCATAACATTGGGGTATTAATGGGGTAATGAAATTCTCAGTTACATAAATAAGCTTTTCAAATGTGCTTCTTTGTCAAAATAATATAACAAAATAAAAAAATGTATGAAATCTCATTATATCAAGAGACAGACATTTATTTTTAAAGCATGAATTCATGCTTCATTTCCTTTTCACCACCACGTGGCACTGTGTTTTGATAATAAACTCAGATGGGTAATGCTCACAAAAATGCCCAGTAGCTCTGTCCTTCTATCAGATGACTATTTTGCAGCAGTAAAGAAATACCTATGAGATTGCAAATGTTTTTACATGAAGTGTCAAGAAGGGTTCTGTAAAATTTATTTATGTCTCTTTATAAAGCAATGAATTTTGGGAAGACGTGTTAAAAATCAAAAACTCTCTGTATGACTGAAGGGTCTAGGAAATGTCAACCATTTCCATTGTACTGTACTAGTTTTCTTCCTATGAAATTAAATATGACTAATTAATAATACAAAGTATACTTCATAATATAGATTAAAATACAAAGTGTTATTACAAAGGGTTCTCTCTCTTCATCTACAACAAAGACTCTTATGTTCTTCTGTTTAGACCTATGCTAACAAGATTTTGGGATTAATTACTTACCATCAACCATATGAGTACATTGAGCAACTCTCTCTTGTTAGTAACTCCTTTTAAGACTTATCATGTATTTTTGAGTAAAGCTTATCTCTGTTCTTGGCAATCAAATTAGCACGTATCTGGCTGGTTAAAACAGTGGAATTGTTCTAAAAGCTTGATCTCTTTCATGTTTGCTATGAATTCAGTATTGTTTGTTTAAAAGTATCAGTAAATTCTTCACTAGTTTGAATACTTAAATTTTTCATCTTTAAAACTAGTTTTGCTGCTTTTATGTACCGTATATATATATATTTCAGCTAGAAAACTGAGTATGAAACATTGCAATTTAAGTTATTCTTTAAACACAGCTTAGCTTGACACTAAAAAAATGAGAGGCTCTAATGTAACATTTGATTTCAGAAGAGTTTTACTCTTTTTATCGTTTGTCCATTAGACATGTACTGTACCAAATCACAACAAATTTGATTGAAAGAAGAATACAAAATTCAAAGATTCAGATCATTTAATAAAATTCCAGAGACATTCTTTATTCAATTTTTGTGTAAATCTTTGACATTTTATAAGACTTACTTGATCCTCATGCAAAACAATGAATTTTTATTAGATTAATCGACAGCCTCACTTATTTTCCACTAGGGTGTTTCTCTGCAGCTCAAAGGTAAACACATACAGTATAATGTACTCTGAAACGGTCACAGATCTTGAGACAGCCTATTACACCATCCTTTATTTGAATAAAGGCTACTAGAAGAACAATGAGGTACTGTAGGTATGGGATTATTTTTAATCCATTCTGTACTGAAATTCTGAAAAGTTTAAAGCTTGTGGTTTGTCTTGGGATACCTGCCTCTTGAGCAATGCAAGTTAACCAACAGGTTCTCAAAACCTCTAAATTCCTTGTGTTTGTTAGTGACACTCTCCTTAGTGACAGCAGTAAAACTGAACGGTACACTATTTATTTTGGTTACACCACTTTGCACTCTGTAATTTTAAATACATTTATTTTGTAAATTGTTGTTAATTCTGTTGAAATGCATCGATAGAACCAAAAGTGCTTTTTGCACAGCATAGCTGTGGTAAATGTAAATTAACTAAGGCACTGTGCGTTTGTCACATTTGGATGGATTTTAAACACCAGTTCAAAGAGCATGACTCCTTCAGTAAAAATAACATGTAATCATGGCACATATTTTCATTCAGATGAACATACAGTAAGTGAATTACAGTTTACCTATACAGTACATGTGACCTGTTTCTTCACAAATGTATAAAATCATCTTTCATAGAATTTATTTTGTTTCATAAACAACGTTCTTACTGAAAAGGTAGACAAAGCACCAGCTGCAAACACAGAGGCTGCAGTCCTTCAGTTTTTGGAGAAGCTATTTTTAGAAATACTTCAGTACGGTACCTGTCGCCAGCAAAACGAGCTTCCAGTGAAGTCCCAAACAAGGTAAGGCTGGAGGAAAACGCAGTCCCAAGGCCTGCTTGATTTGTCATGTACCATGCGTGCAAGATTTTCCATTCTGGAAAGCAGTGCTGCTCTTCAACAGGACTTTAATTGGGTCCCAGTGTTCGTTGTTTATACATTTCCACCTTTATGACAGACTTGCCGTCTGTGTTTAACGAGCAGCTCGGAGGATAAAAAGCTCTGGCTTGTTTCGTACATGGCAGCAGCCCAATCTTCGAAACAGACACCAGATTTTCCAGGTCGCACTTCCTTACACGTATCTATTGCAAGACGTTGTACTTTGCCCCTACAGGGTTTCAATTATTTGGGATAGTACTTTTTATTTACAAAGGCCCTGATAAAAGCACTTTTGCTTTCTAGTTCAGTCCTACCAGCCACTGTTGCTTTATAACTGTACACTTGTGCTGTAAAACTTTCAGCCACACGTTCTGCAGCTAATAACACACACAAGTGAAAGTGTTAACACAGAAAAGGTCGGCATTTTATTTCCTAGAACTAGTTTTAAAATACAATTGGGTTTTTTTATAATCTGATGATCCATTTCTCTATTATAAAGGCTATTTTCTATCTTTTCAGTGCAACTTGTTTAATCTTTGCAATTGTTGCAAATACGTTTTAGTGGAAAACTAAGTAGCTACTCTTAGGGTAAGAATAAGAAGCTCTCTTGCAGTAACAATCCAAATATCAGAGCAGGTGCTGCCTTCCCCAGCTATTTGGTGGCTCTGTGGCTAAGGATCTGCGCCTGTGACTGGAAGGTTGCCGGTTCAAATCCCACGGCTGGCAGAGGAATCCTACTCCGTTGGGCCCCTGAGCAAGGCCCTTAACCCCCAACTGCTCCAGGAGTGCTGTACAATGGCAGACCCTGTGCTCTGACCCCCAGCTTCTCTCCCTGTCTGTGTGTCTGTGTCTCCATGGAGAAAAGCTGGGGTATGTGAAAAGATGAATTCCTAATGCAAGAAATTGTATAGGGCTAATAAAGAAACATAATTACAACATTATTCCTGACAGATTTGTGGATATGATAAAAGCAAAAATATGCTAAAATGTTAAATGTGCTTACGGGTTAAAAGCATCATAGAGATACCACACAAGGAAGGTAAAGTGTATTGTGGTTCCAGGAAGGTCTACAGTAAGTCCCACAAGGTGACTGCACTGTGACGCACTCTGTCCTGTCCAACCCAATTCTGATTTTCTGCTTTTGGAATGAAAGTTTAATGCAGCTGGTGTCAGGATATTCAGTGTACTGCTTTCTGAGCACTTGTCACAAGACACCTTACCTTTACTCTTGTTTTACAATGCAATAGGTTAAAAAAGCCCAGCCACACAGGGGATATCGGATAACAGGATACAGTTTTTTAAGTCTCCTCTAGGTGCAATCTAAAACAAAAGTATATACTGTAGTTGACTATATAAAGACATTGGGGACGGATACTGTATTTTTTAATGGGTTATTACTTGTGCATTTACAATTTTAGATCCAATAGAACAATTTTATCTCATAGCAAGATAAATTGTATTTACAGTATATATATTTTTATGCAGAGAATGAAGAGTTTCAAAGCAGCCAGTCTTGAGAAATTAGCAATCCAGCTAAAATGTCATTTATCTGAAAATCTGCATTACAAAGTCAAACAAAGAACCACTCATGCTAAAAGTCAAATTTACTTTTTTTTCTGAGTGTTGTCTTCAAACCACATGGAGTTGTGAATATTGTACAAATGACTCATCTTATTTTAAAACACAGTAAAGATGAAATCTAAACCTTTTTCCTAACTGATGATGACAATTCAGAACCCAGAACTTGAGAGTGGCTCTCTGTTTTAGGTGTATTCTCTATACAACAGATCAAGTACTTGCTATTCTATCATACTGTGACCAGTATGTATATTAATCTCATTAGATCTTTGCTGATTCATAATGGTTCCTACTGGAAAGGTCTGCAGTAAGAGAGAACTTTTGGGATGGCAGGCCAATTTACGCAATTAATATTAAAAAATAATAATATTCTGGTGCCATTTCGAAGACAGTGAAAGTACCACTTTTGCATGATGTGTTTGATGTGCAAAAATGAGAAATTTTAAGTGGAGCTCCACTTGCTAATATGAGCTACATACGTATGTGCAGGTAGTTCAGGCGGGGAGCTGCGTCAGCATGCGTAGGCTGCAGAAGAACAAGTAACACTTGAAGAAGGCACCACAGCCGAAATGTTGCGTTTTCTGTCTTCTCATTTCAGCAGGAATACACCTATTATTTGTTCCTACTGTATATGTTCATGTATTCCTCAAAGGCATTGACACTTTGGAAACACCTTTATGAAAATGCTTCTTAAAAACTTCATGCATGTCTTTCTCACCATCATTGTATTATTGTCTCTTGTGTTGTTCATATACTAGTTTTTGTTTTTGTTGTTTTTTTGGGAGGTCTGTTTAGGATCATTCTTTCAAGGAAACTATTAGTATGAGTTTCCTCTCTAAATACCTTATTACATTTTGTGTTTTTTATATAATTCTATATTTATTTGATCTGTTGTGATCAAGATTCTACTGGTATGACAGATACAGTGCTGTCTTTGTTGATTTAAAATGGAAAAGGTCTTCAGAATCATGTTTGCATGAAAGAGCATTTGATGAATATTATGTTTTTCATGTGGTTTGCGGTAAATCTTCATCAAGTAACTGAAAATTATTTATTTAATAGCCACAAAAACACCACTCTGCATAAACTAACAGCTAATTTAAATAGTTAAATCAGCATACAATTTCAACTCATTGTTTTCACTTCCTTAAGACGTTTCTGTAACTATCCAGGACTACTGTGCATACTGTATGGCTATAGCAGTGACTGTCATGATGCTTTTCCCCAAAAATGAAATATTCATTTAAAATGATTTATGTGGCTTATAGGAAAAAAAATAATTGATTTGCTATATGAAGAACACACACATTCCTAACTGGTTGGTTAGACACAAGGCATTTGTATTTGAAAAGTAATTGTTTCTGCTTTTTTATTCTTCATAAATTAGCAGTGCATGATGGTCTCCATTAATTAAAATGAAAATAACATTTTGGGTAATCGAGTAAAAAAGTGCCCAAGGGGTCCTTTTCATTATTATTCTCAGAAAAAAATGGTTCTGTCCAGCCCCTAAGAGAGTTGTTTAATGAAATCTCACAAGCTGTGATTACTTTAACAAAACTTAAGACCATCTGCTAATGACCAGCAGGAAGCTAGACTTCAGAGGGTTTTTATTAACACAGACACAGTTAAAAATATGTAAAAGGTGTCTGCTCCTTAAAGATATCATATTTATTACGTTTGTACCTTCGGGGTTTTAATATAAAATTATGGAAATCAGGAAAGTATATATATATAATTATATAATATATATCCTCTTTTAATATATTATGATATGAGGTGCACAAAACAAAGTTTGAAAACTAAACTTGGTAATAAGTCAGTTGATATCTATGGACACTTTGCTAATAATTTGAAATTAATTATATAAAGAGGCATGAAACTTAAAAGTGAAAAAAAAACATTTATCTTTAGGAAAAACCTATTATGGGTTTTAGCAAAAAAAATCAACTTAAGGAAAAAAAAACTAAATTCTAGCGATTTTTAGAAAGGAACCTTTTTTTAAAAAAAAAGATGAGTTGAGGCCAAACTCACAGTTAATTGCAAGACAACCTATTTGCAAAGTGCGCACAGAAATATATCATAATAAATCATTATTCTCTATCTACTGTAGTTACAGCAGACAAGGTTATAAATACATATTGATTCAAAAGGCATTTTTTCTCTTGGGGCGCAAAGTAGTTTTAAAATCACAATAAAAAACAACAGAAGTGTTTTAAGAACTAGTGCGATAAACAGCGTTTATCGTGCCTTAATTTTCCCTCATTGTGTGAATGATCCTCGTTGTTAGCTCCAGCAATCTCGCCTGCTTTCTACTGTGTTGCTATTTATAGTAGATCCTACTTGTGTCGCCACAGGCTCTGATCGCATCTCTCTGCCACTGCAATTTGAAAACACTGCTCTCAGCCTGTCTCCTTGCTCTCCGGGAAGGCACGATATCCAAGATCACATCCAGATTAAAAACTGTACCTTAATACTGGAACCTTTCGCGTTTTGATCTTTTTCCCCCTGCAGAAATACCAGGTAAGAAAATGATGTAATTCTGTTCTATAAATAGCAAGGGGATAGGACAACCGCGAGCAACGCGTTTTGCTGTGTTTAGTTAACTGTGACTTCTTTGCAGTTTGTAATTAGCACAATTTCCAAGTGATTGGCCCCTGAGCCTTATGCTCGCCAATTTTAGCTTGTTGAAAACTTGTTCTTGTTTTTCCCCCATGCGACTGAAGCGTTTTATGGTCGCTTTCATTTGTGTTATAAAATGATTTTAGCCATTAGTTAATCCAAGGAAACCAAAATAACTAAAGAGCATGAATAATTAAGTCGTGCCTCATAGGCGACACGACAAGATGAGACCAGTTTAATAAGCAAACGGCTTAAATGATGCCAAGTTGTGACATATATCGCACAGAGGTGTTAATCAGGTTCCTAATCAGTTCGTGATGGAAGAACTTAAATCAATTACACAATATAGTGTACATCCCAATGTTAAATATCAACATGCGCAGAACATTAGGACAATTTTGTTGGTATGGGAGCTGTCGTATACATTATTGTAAGATGTACACTTCTTCTAAATTTATGCCATAATGTTTAAAAAGACATCTTTAATTGTTATGGATTATAATAACGTTTATTTTATTTCGGTGTTTATTTAAACACCGTTTAAGGCGGCAACATCGCGGTGCACATGAAAGGCATAAATTTCCCGTTCCTGATCTGCATAAAATGATGCCATTTCTGGACTATAAATAGAACTCATTAACATTTAGCAAACAAATGATCACCCAAGACGTGAGTGACATACGAATGTATGACAGACTTCAATCTGTTAATTGGTTGAGCATTTGACGCACATAAAGCATAAAACATTTTTGCTGGCTTGTTGACCACGCACAACATGCTCTGAGACGCTGTTCAGAGCGAAACCCTGGAGCGGGTTAAATTCAGGAAGTAAAGCACCCACCAGATCTTAAACGCCACACCCAACTGTTTGAAGGAGACACAAGAGGATTCTGTAAGAAAGGTAACCTCAGGTGCGGTCTGGGTTTTTGCCATTTTCAGGTGGGCTTCATTTTCAATCTTACCTTGGACAACTGTACTGTACTATTAGGCTTCCAAGCAGTGTTCTGAATGTAGTTTTTTTTTGTCCAGAGACTGGGCAACTGAGCAAATGTATGGTTTAGTGGGACAAATGAACATTTAAAATCTTTGACAGTAATTGTGGTTCTGCGTCAACCAAGATCTGTGCCTTAAAACCGTGATAATTCTCCCCTCTGACCCAGGACCTCAGCTTGCCATGCGTTCTTGTGCAGACTGCTCCTGTTGAATGCCTACTTGACTCCAATTAACTCCGTAGCTATCATTCTAGTGACCGTAGAGTTGTCATGTGATGAAGTGGTGTGAGCTGCTCCAAATGACCGAAACAATCGCCATGTTTTTTTTTTTCAAAATGCAAACTTCCAGTGATGAGCTATGATACTAATTGACTTGAAACTTGGCAGGTTTCATCGCAACCAGAACTGCCTCAGTCTTGTATCCCACAGGTTGCCTTACGTGCTGGTGCCCTGTTCCACTGACTGCTCTGCTTCACAAATTGTTTAGCCAGTGAACGTCCGATTTAGTGCACTCACGGTTCTGTCAGCCTGTCAAGGTCAATACAGGGGCAGAGGCGTAGTTGGGCAAAGCAATAGATTTGCTGCTCCTTCAGGAACTTACGTTTTTGTCCTGAAGCTGAACTTGCCAAACCGTGAGTCTGAGAAATTTTATTATCTGTGCATTATTAATACTAGTAGTAGCGTTTCCCCCAGTAATTATCTACCGGAATTTCTTTGTTATCTCTCTCTGTTATTAAAATTCTCAATATATTACAGCTTTGAACTAATCTCAATTACAATTTGGTTAGACTTCGGTGAAATTTAAATAGGTTATTCGACAAGGTATCCTTATTATACCTTATAACCCCAAAAAGCTATAATAATCTGTAATTATTGTACTTGGTAAAGGTTTATGCCTGATACAGTATGTATGGATTCCCTTAAAGAAGGATGTCGAGCTTTTTCAGTCATCCAGCATAATGGTTTTATGACTAACTTCTGCCTCATTTCTTTTATTTCTTTAAACTTGGGTTTGTAAAACTCTTGGTAACAACATTCCCTGACAGATCTGGGCTTTTCTGGCCTGGTATCTGGGTGTTCACCGCCACATTATGGATTCACTCAGAGTTTGGGGAACAACGATATTATCATATCTTGTGATATGTTTCTGCACAATTTTAAATTTTAAGATTTGGATATAACATGAGCTGAAATGCAACGTTTCAAAATAGTGTCTTTTTTTTTTCTTCAGAATCTTTCTCGCATATTCTCACGTTTCTCTCTGACTGCTGCAGATCTCCCTTTACTTTGGACATTCTAAATCTTGTTCGTGTCAAGTCCTTTTCATATTTGGACCACCTGTTTTGTGTAACTGCTAAAAAATTAAAGCACTTTGCTTTGAAGCATGTTTTGTCTATCATCCATTGGCTCATTTAAAAATGCCCCTCCTTTGATCATTTATTATGATTTGCTTTACATGTCACTGGTCTGTTGTACAGCATGTGTGCTACAGTGCATCCTCACCCTGAGAATGGCTCTATTAATTAAGATATCCAACTGCACGGCAGTGTCCAACTGTACTGTCTTTAAAATGCTGCCAATCTTTTGTTTGGACTGGTCTTTAGCAAAGAGGGTACAGTACGCTGCCTTCTTTAACATCTCAGCTTATTGGCCATGCCTGTCCCAGACATAGTGGCATACTGAAAGAGAACTACAGGGCATGTCACATTTCCTTGTGACTATTGTGAAACGGATTTCCAAGCCCTGGACAAGAGTGGTTAAAAATGTCACATGTCACGGGATGTGTCCTTTCTCACACGTCCATTTACATTAGTGTTACAAGTACGATAAACATTTATTACTGAACAAGGCTACAATAAGGCGGTGTAACTTGTATATTGTGTGCAACATCTAAAATATTGCGATGTGCATTTTTAAGCAGCTTTGTTGGGCTAAGCACCTGTGGAAAACTGTTGAGTGAAATGGAGTTTTTTTTTAACCCAATCCCAACCCCCTTGTTCTAGATCGACAACAGGACCTTGAGCTTTCCGGTGTTTTGACCTCGTACAATCAAGATGTGTTTAGTGGTTAAAGAATTTGTGGAATGTTAGTAGTCAGAATCGTATGTACAGTATATAATCAATTTGAATAAATTATTATAACAAAAGTATATTGGTCTTTACAAAATCTCATTACAGACAACAACATTCAAAAACATATGAACAGTTTTGCGACACCACGGTACAGACAGCAAGTCTTTGTACTAGTGAGAGGAAACCACAGCCCTGGTGGAGTCCCACATGGACTGGTTTCTATCTTTGGTTTCACATAACCTGGAGAAAAAACAAGATAAGTACTTTTATAATAGATGCTACAAAGGTAATGAGCTTTTTGTTTCCTGATCAATAAGAAACTCATCACCAGGCTCATATGTGAAGTAATTTAAAGAATGAGGCAGATTTCAGGGAGAACTACTTCTGAAAAGGGCCAGCCTTTGCAGTGCACTTTTGTGTCAGAAGAGGGCAGTAAAGGCTCTTGTTCGTGTTCAAGAGCCGCTTCAGATGGAGATGTCTGCTGTATCTCCTGTCCAGAGCTGATCTCTCTTCTAGCTTCATTAAAGCATTACTATTTTAGTTAATTTGTGTTTGCTTCAGCTCACACAAATAGCAATGTTCAAAATAAGAATGCAGAAGACTAGAGTCTTCTCAGATTTGTGCAACATGATGAGTTGCTGTAACAAGCTGTAGGAATTAAGGAAATATTCTTGGTTAGGTTTTGTGTTGCAAACGGCTTAACTACTGTATATTTTTACTGCAGGATGCGAATCCAGACTTAGTCTGTCCTACGTCATTTTCTATCATTATTAGATATTTTTTGCGGTCAACATTTTCTTTTTATTTAAGAAACAAACAATGAACATTCAACCAACAGCATATGATAACATATTTGTTAGTGTACACCCAAATGACCAATGGTTATTGACTGATTATTATCAATAATCACAGTTATGCTGATTTCTCCCCCTTTTTTACTATAAGCCGCTGGTGGTGTAGCAGAGGGCAGAGTTTCATCCCCAGCACCTTGATGATGAATGCTGTGCTTGTGTTTCACCTAAATAAATACTCTAGCTTCTTTCTTACAAGTTCAGTGTTGCGAGTGGCTGCCATGTGGTGCTGGCGCGGGGAGTGAAACAGGGAAAGCAGAGGTCAGCTCCATGCAGCTGTGGGAAGGTGGCTCATGGGTAATAACGCATAAGAAGGACCGAGCAGAGGCAATTAAGAGCTGAAAGAGGGATGCGGAGCTCAGTGGGAGTCAAAAAAAGACCCTTTCAGGAGAACCCAGCCGGTCCAGCACAAGCGTCGGATGTGCAAGGAAAGCTGGCCTGGACAGGAGGACACAGAGCGAGGGTCTGTTGCATGATTTTTGAGTAGAGAAGAGACAGCGTGCCAGCGTCCCTGTGGTAGCAGACGGAGCAGTGTACCGTGAGCCGAGCAAGGCTGAGCAGCACTCCAGGTGCAGGTGGGCCACCACAGCTGCGGTTGCAGGGGTCCGGAGTTGGAAACAGCATGAGCTCTGACCAGACTGGAGTCATGTCGATGTTTATCAACCCTCCAAGCATGCTGCCAACCTCAAATGTGACCATTGACGGTCCTGGAATCATTCCAGGCACTCAGGTCAGGAATCGTGGTTACCCAAATCTTAAAGATCGTCTTCTCATTGCTGTGAAGGTGTCTTTTTTTTTTTTTTTTTTTTTTGGAGTTTACGTTGTGCACGTCCATCCCCTTGCTTGAGTATTTTCCAGGCATCACTTTTGCTGCTGGTTCTCGCTGGCATGTGTGTAGCAGTGTCTCAGTGGCACCGAGCCAGTTACGACAGTTACAGCCTCCCCCAGCTGACTTTCTAACCTTGCCAGGGCAGAACTGGCCTGTG